CAGCGAGAGAGCCGCCAGGGGTGCGGCAGCGGGACGAGGTGCCCGAAGCGCCCGCGGACCTGCGCTTCTACGAGTGCGGCGGGACGAGGTGCCCGAAGCGCCCGCGGGCGTGCGCTTCTATGAATCGGATCGAACACCGCGCCTCGACAAGGCGAAGTACCGCAGTCCGTGCATCGGCTGCCATGTCCGCGCTGGTTCCCGTAGCATCTCCAGCGCGAGTGGGGACATGGCGCCCCCGTCGCCGTCTGGGGGATCGTCGTCGTCGCCGATGACGACGAGCTGCCCGGCGCCGGGAGGGCCTCGGCAGCCGCCCGTCCTGGCGGCGGGACCTGCGGCTGAGGATTCGGAAGCCCTGGGCGCCCATGTAGGCCTGGTTGACAACTGAAGCCCCGTCCTGCATGTGCGCGACGATCGTCTCGGGCGGCACCCCCGCTGGCCCAGCCGTCTACACTGCCTTAAGAGTCGGCGGTGGCGGCTTGACCAGTGGCGCCGGCATGCCCGTCTGGCGTTGACGCTCTGCCACGATCGCCTCCACGGCGTTGGCCGCGCCAGGCCGGCGACCGCGGCTGCCTGACGTCCGCAGCCCTGGAGGCGGCTTGCATGGAGGGCGGGGGCCGCTGGCGCGACCTCCCGCGCGCGGCGCTGCTGCCACCGCAGTCTGCGGGTCTTGGGCGATGCTCCCCGGCGCCAGCACCGGCGTCCCCTCGCCCATGGGCACGGGCCCAGACTCCCGACCCGGAGGCTGGGACGGCGGGGTCTCGTCGGCCACGCCGAGAACCGTCGAGACGAGCTTCGCCAAGCACACTGCGCCACGGACCCACATCGGCAGCACTGGCTGACGGAGCGTCCTGGGGGGGGTGTGGCTGAGTCGGCGAGCTGTAGTCAACTGATACTGCTTGGGCCGAGATGGCAACGGAGTCCGAGGCTATCCGAGGCTGTCCCGTCGGTTTCGGGCCCCCGCCGATGTCGGTCCTGAGCCTTAGTGGATCGGGGATCGCTCTGCACGAAACATGATGATACCTATCCGATCCGGGGGGCCTCTGAGCCCGCAACCGCAACACGACCGCCCGGCAACCTCTGACGCCCGCGGCATCGCATTCCTGGTCCCCGAGGGCGTCCTCGCTGCCCTGGACCCGACTCATGATGCAGAGGAGGGCCTCGCTAATCGCGTGCATGGCCCCTAGGAGCCCGACAAGGTCCTCTACGGCATAGTAGAACCCGCCCCGGTTCCTCCTGGGGCCGCCCCCTATGGCGGCCCCAAGGTTGAGACTGAGGAAGAGGAAGAGGAAGAGGCAGGCCATGTACTTAGCCACAGCGCAAACCGAGCCGTCCTCGGCCATCTCGAGAGGGCGCCCGCCCTCGGCACGGCAAAGAGAGCCCGGCCGCAGAAAAGGGAACTTCAGGAGGGCATGCGGCGAGACACGCACAGGCTGGGGCAACGGGCGCACGACGTCCGCCATCCTGCGCCCTGACGACAGCTTGCGAACCGCGAGCGTCGAGCCCGGTGACCTTCATGCGATTCTTCGGCAGGTCGATGACGCACCCCAGGAAATCCGCGAGGTTCACGCCGACGATGCGCGGCACGTCCCCGAGAAGCACCGCGGCCTCCACGATCCCGAGGACACCCCCAGACAATGGGAACAGGATCGGCCCCACGATCTCGGCCTGGCCGCCGACTCCGCGGGCGGGTCGGATCGGCGACCCCTCTCCAGGAGGCACAACAACGCATGTCATCCCGAGGTTGCCGAGCGCCAGCGCCTCGCGGTTGATGGGCAGCCAGTCCTACTAGGTCGCTGCCGGCGCCTGGGCCCACCAGCCCCTGCGTCGGCCGAGCGGTCAGGTAGATCTCGGAGATCCGGCCCTGGAGTTCTCAAAGCGATGCCAGGACGTCGTCAGTGGGTGGCGCCACACAGCCAGAGAACGCGTAGGGCGCCAGCTGCTTGCCTGTCCAGGTCGGGTTGTCCTTCTTCGGCATCGGGCACTCGTCCTTCCAGCGGCCCTTCTCGCCGCAATTCTTGCACCTGGTGACCTTGATGACCGGCCGCGCCCACGCTCGAAACGACCCCGGGGCGGCGGCGGCGGTCGCTGGCCGCTGGAGCCGGAGGGCCCGCCCCTGTCCGAGCCGCGATAGTACTCTCTATCCTTCCTGGCCGCCTGCTTGAGATCTTGGTTCTCCTTCCACGTCCGCTTCTTCAGGCCAGCCAAGTAGCTCTCGACGCTGTCCTCTTCGAGGTCCATCTCTGACAACTCCAGCAGCACGGCATTGATCTCGTCCTGTGACATGTCTTCGGGGTCATCGGAGTCGTCGTCGGACTGCTCATCGTCGCCCTCGGGTCCAGCACCGCCGCCCTCGGCCCAGCCTTGTTGCGTGGAATGGGGGAAAGCAGAGGAGGAGGGATCTGGAGCGCCGCCAGTCGCTTCTGGACCGTCGGCGAAATTGCCAGCGCTACGGCCTGGCAGCTGACGCTCAGACGTGGTGAAGTCCAGCTGTCGGATGGCCCAACACACACACACACACACTCTTGTACTCCAGATCACCGCGGGTGAGGGCCCTCATGTTCTGCATCCCCTGCGGTGATAGCGAGGCTTCTTCTTCCATCATGAAGCCCGTGAGCTCGTCCGAGATCCAGAGGTCGTTGCCTTCGGCCTCCCGGAACTGTCTCTCTCGGCGATCGACGAAGGCCTGCAGCGTCTCCTTGGCCTCTCGCTAGCACTCGAACAGTGCCCGGCGACCGATACACCTGATCTCGTCGCCCTCTCGCTCACCGGCCATCCGGCCGAGGCGGGTGAGCATGTGGCTGAGCCAGGACTTGCTCTCCAGGTCGCTCTCGGGGGTGTCCTCGAAGGACGTCTGCAGCGTCCACGTGAACAGCTTCATGAACTTCTCGTGCCGCTTGTAGGTCGGCACATCTGTGTATCGGTCCCATCGCTGCATCGCCTTTTTCCCAAGTACGGTAGTGTTGCCAGCCTGGCCAGGCTGGTGGGTCGCTGTAGTCTCCTTTCGTGTACCCGCCCGACGACCACCACGACCTATCTTCATCGTTCGCGCGCGAGTGGTGCTTGTCGTCGTCATGCTGGCGCTGCTTGTCCTCGCTCCAGTGCTGGCCGTTGGACTGGTCGTTCCATCTCCCGTCTGCACCTGCTGCGTCCCACGAAGCCCGGGCCGCCGGGCGATCGTCGGAGGGCTGGCCGAGCTGGCGTCCAGTCCCATCTGGAGCACGACCTCTCGCCCAAGGGTCGTTGCCGTTCGCCCACTCGTCCAGGCCGCGGGATGGAGCGGCTGTCTCAGCAGCCGCGGGCGGCGCGGGTGGGGACGCCGCGGGGGCAAGCTGGCCAGCCTCCCTGATCATGCTGGCAACCATTTCCCGAACATCCTCCGGCCGCACCACGCTGGAGCCAGTGCTCTGGTTCTGGTTCTGGTTCTGGTTCTGGCTCGCGGCGCCCTCCTGCGTCTCCTGGGAGCTGGCGAGCGTCGCGAAAGTCTCGGTCCTCTGGGGCTCCCCGCCTTCTCCATCGGCGGGCATGCCGCGGATCCCACGCACGTCGGCTGATGGAAGCCGTGCGTCCTCCTAGAGCCCTTGAGCGCAACGGCCGGCGCGCGCCATGCGCGACGGGCGGGCACCCTTGGCCCTGGAGCTCACACGGCTCCGCTACCAACTGTGGCAGCAGGAGCAGCAGCAAATGGTTTTGGACTTGAGCCAGTAAGGCGTACAGGTACCAGAGAGGGCCCAATCCCCTGGGCCCAGTTCAAGGAAACTAAAAGCTAAACCTAAACACAAAACTGTGCCAGAGATTCACATTGGGCCGTGAGTTGGCTCGAGACTACCTCGCTGCCCGTGGCCGATGTATGGAGCTCCTCGATCCCAGACCCCCAGCGAGACCCGACGTTCCATCCCGATCCGTCTTTGCCGACGGGCCCTGGGGCCCGAAACCGGCCCCCAGAGGCCCAGAATGGGACGCACAGAGACATACTAATACTATATGTCCTCCTTGGAGGCACGCGTCCGACCCGAACATGTAGTATACCCATCTTGTAGTGTATCGTTTCCCGAGCGGTTTGGCCAGAAAGCACCCGCCACGACGCATGTACCATGAGATTTCTCGGTGCGCGCGTCGCCCCTGTGGGGGGGCGGCGAACATGTAATAGAAGTATGTTGGGGTGACGCCGACAGAAGAGCAGACAAGCTGCCCTCTCACGATCCTGCTTGAGCCGCCGGACGTCTGCTCGGGGTCGCTCTCGTCACACGCCTCCCCCCGAGCGGCGGCGCGCCCAGCGGGGAAGGCGTTGGGGCCTGGGCCTTCTCGGAAGGCCGTCCGAGAATCTCATTCTGCGCCACCTCCGAAGCCGCAGGAAGCTTCTCTGAAGGGGCCCAGGGACACACAAATAAATAGATACAAATAACAGGATTCCGCATATTTTCCAATATTTTCTGGATTCTCGTCTTCCCCCCCGCTTCCCATATTTTCCCATATTGTCCTGGGAGTCGACGATTGATTGTGTCTGTGTGTTTCTTTCCCTCCTGACTCTCAGAAGGCAGGGGGGGGGGTCGAGAAGCCCCACCGCCCTCGAGGAGGCCTACCCCCTCCCACTGCCCCCCTCGGCGCGCCGCCGAGCGAGGAGGTGCTGGCCTCCGGGCAGCAGTAAGTCGACTCTCCTGCGCCCGGGCACCCCAGAACGCTCTCGTCGAGGCGCAGCCGCTGGAACGCGCCCCGAAGCCAGAAGACCGCCGAGAAACGACGAAAACGCCTGAGAACGTCGGACATCGAACCTGGCTCCTCCGTCGCGATGGTCTCTGGCGAGACGATCGTGGCCCCTGGCCCTTTCGGGGAGTCGGTTCTGGCCGGAGTGGGCGCCTCAGTCTTGACGACGGCCCCAGGGAATGGTGGAGCCTTGGACGTGGACCGTTGTGTTCGGAGTAAAACAGGCCGCTCTCCCCCCTCGGCGCGCCACCGACTCGCACTTCAGATGCAACTCGCACCGGGGAGGCTCTGCGCGATGCCTTGATCTTCTTCTCCGCCTCCACTGGCTCCAGCTGCTCGCGCGCCGGCTCCTGCGCAGAGGAGGCGGGCGAGAGGAGACGACCGCGGAGGGGAGCCCCAGGTCTCCCTGCCCGGCGCAGGGCGGCGGCGCCTGGTCCACGGCGCCCGCGAAGTTAGCGGCCGTTTCAATCGGGAGAGGGGCAGCAGGAGAGGGGCAGACAGCGGCACGGGCAGCACACGGAAGAAGCGGACGAGGGATAGGCTGAGGGCAGCCAGGCGACACATCGGCGGTTCGTATAATTGAGGGACGGGGAGAAGGAGAGGAGCAAGCAGAAGCACACGCAGCGCTCGGGAGCAAGGGAAGAGAGGGGGTAATGACAGGACGGCGGATAGGCAGGAAAAGACAAGGCGCCGCTCGGGGCAGACGATTTTCTGCCGAGGCTGCCCACACGGGCACAGAACACGAGGTCCAGAGAGACCTCGGAGCAGCCAAAAAAAAAGCTCCAGCTGACGCCAATATGGGGGGAGGCGTTGACCGCTGAGACGAAGCAACCGCCGACCATGTTACGGCCATGTTCAGAACTCCACCGCGGGAGCAGGGCGTTAAAACCTGAGCGAGTCCTTCCCCACAGATGCCTCCAGGGTCGGGTGGCCTCAGAAGCTGCGGGCACGGGGCAGGCCAAGGGACAGGAGGAGCGGGGCAGGGAGGGGCGAGGGGACGGGGAGGATCCAAGAGCACAGAAGGCCTCAGGTGCTCAGAACAACCTCGACCCCGCAGATCACACCGCTGGTCGGGACATGTTCAAGGACACTATACGGCAGGCGGTCTGTCGAACCTCCACGGAACAGCGGCGGTGGTGGGACCGTCGGCGAGCACGCGGACGCAGGCGACGTTGAGAGCACCCTCCGCGATGCCGACCATCTCGTGACCAATGACGTCCCACGGAACCGTGATGCGCAGGACGAATCGGGTGTTGGCTCCAGCCCTTGCCCACGCGTTAGCTCTCATCCTGGCGACTTTGAAGCCCGAACACGACAACGGAACTTGCGTTCTAACACCGCTACCCGCAGGGGCAACGGCACATCCGACAGGCGGCGACGCGACGGAGAGCCCAAACACGACAACGGTACTTGCGTTCTAACGCCGCCGAGGCCCGCAAAGGCAACGGCTGATCTAATATGACAACGGAACTTGCGCTCTAACGCAATCGCCACCCGCAAGGGAAACGGCGCGTCCAGCAAAACAGGAGGTTGTTTCATTGAGCTGGAAATATCTGGATGGGATGGAAACAGCATGTACACCAGCAGGAAGCGCATCATAGCCCACTTGAGACCAGTCACCATCATATAGATCAGAAAGAGGTCCATCCCGCCCGGGCGTTGCAATCGTGGTCGAAGGTGTACGCGGACAGAAACCGAGAGGAGACGACGGGCACAGATCAACCATCACCAAAGCATCATCATCATCCACAGGTTCAGGTACCAGCATCGGCGTCATACCAGGACTCGGAGTATCAGACCCCTGAGCCTCGAACCTGGGAGTGGCCACCAGCGGCGAGAAGCCAGGGATCAGGGAGACAGAGGTCACACGATCAGAAGCCCCATCACTGGTAGAGACAGCCGTATCATCCCCGACGGAGACGGCGGACATCGTGGCCTCGAAGGCGACGAGGAAGAGGACGAGGAAGAAGAGGGCGAGGCAGGACAGCGTCTACGGCGGGGTGCCAGGGACACGTGCCTCATCTCATCTGCCAAAGCCGACGGAGAGGCCATCTCCATAACAAGACCCCAATCATAGCAGCACTGTAAGCGTTACTCTCCGAGATTGGCCACTGAGGGATACGTCGCACAGCATTGTAGGCACCGTGGGGGCCGCCAGAAGGCCATAAGCACTAGGCGACGGAGAGGACAACCTCCATCGCTCAGCGAGGTCCATGTGCGGCGATGGCCCAGCGCAGAACAGAACGCCCTGTGGAATCGAACACATCTTGGATAATGCAATAGTGAATCGGGGGGGTATCAACGCACCCAAACGCGCAGGCCCGCTTGCCAGCAGAGTACAGGATGCGGTGCGAGGTAAGCCAACTATCACACCAAGTACGAAACGCTGACCACGACCACGAGCAGGGACACTTCTGCATCTGGATCGATATCGCAGCCCAGTCAATCGAGTTAAATTAACCAGGTCACCGTGGCGAGCGAAAAATAAATTCCGATGACGACCACGAAGAAACTCACGCAGAGGGTCAACATTCACCGCCATCTCCCGCAAGGAACGATGAACCACCCGCTACGGCCGCGGGCAAGTCCCAGGAGGAACCTCAAATGTAGAGTCGCGCGCACGACGTGCACAAACAATCATATCCTCCCACGGTCCACTGGCAGCATCCCCAGATAAGGCACGCCCCAAGATTCTCAACGATGGCTGGGCTCCGCCAGAAGGAAGGGTAGTAGCGCCCGTCAGGGAGCATGTCGAGTGTCCCTGAGTCGGCACATGACTCCACATGAGCACGCAGGCCTTGCATGAGACGACGGTGCTCCGGGAAGGTGTGTGACGCCACCCGCATGAGAGAGGCAATGTTGAGATGAGCCCATCTTGTGACTCTGGGCCCTGCCATAGGTCAGGCTGCGCCCAAGCGGTCAAATTGAGCGTGCCCAGAGCCACACGGTAGACCTGTGCAAGAACACCCAGCTCAACTGCAGCAATAGCACTCGGCATCCAAAAGAATTGGCACATGCAAGAGAGTGTGGTGACAATGCGTGAATTGTAGATAATGGACGACATGCTGGCGAGGGTCACTCCACGTCCGACGGCTCGAGCCCAAAGACGAACTTTGTCCAGTGGTGCCTGCAGGGTCTCATGAGGTCAACAGCGGGGCCCAACCAGACACCGAGGTACAGGAGCTCAGGGACGATCTTCATAGACGCCCATTGAGGAGCCAACCGAGACAGGACCTCTGAGGTACGTTGGGCAAGGCGAGGGCAGAAGGGACCAGAGAGGGGCACCACATGGCACTTCGGGATCTTAAGGACCAGATTGGCGAGCAACTCCGGAACCCTCATGACGAGGGCGACCAGGGCCATGTCTTCCGCACTCTCCAAAGTCCCGCCGATGTCGTCAGCACATGCACGCACGAAGAGGCGGGCGAGAGGAGGAGGAGGAAGAGGAGGAGGAGGAGGAGGAGGAGAAGAAGGAGAAGGAGGAGGAGGAGGACGAGGAGAGAGGAGGAGGAGGAGAAGAGATGGGAGAGAGGAGAGAGGAGAGAGGAGAGAAAGGAGATGAGAGAGGAGAGAGGAGCGAGGCAAGCTAGGTGCGCTCGCGCCTCATCTGACATCCTATCCCTCCATCTCATCCCTTCCCATTGCGTTGATTTGTTCTCTATCCGCAGACGCGTGTCATAGACGACCTGCAACTCCATTGCCCTAGCAAAGCACCCTAATAGCAGCAAAGGTGACCTGTGGGACCTTTGGGGCAGGTGGGAACTGTGGGATTTGTGCGACCCGTGGGACCTGTGGGACCTGCGGAACCTTTGGGCCTGTGGGACCTCTGCGGCCTGTGAGACCTGCGGGCAGGTGGGAACTGTGGACCTGCGGGACCTGTGGAACCTACGGGACCGGTGGGACCTGTGGGACCTGGGGGACCTCCTGCGACACCTGTGTGGTACCTGTGGCACCTGCGGGTACTATAGGATCTGCGAGTCCTGCGAGGCCCGTGGGACCGGCGGGACCGGCGGGACCTCTGGAAACCTGTTGGACCTGGGGGCCCTCTGTGGGACCTGTCGGACCTGCGACGCCTGTGGGACCTGTGGGACTTGCGGGACCTGTCGGACCCGTCAGACATGCGAGACCTGCGACACCTGGGGCCTTGTGGAACCTGTCAGACCTGTGGAACCTGTGAGACGACCTGCACCATCTGTGGATCCTGTGGGACCTGTGGGCCCAGTAGGGCCTGCGAGACCTGAGAGACCTGTGGGACATGCGAGACCAGTGGGATCCAGAAAGTAGCCCACGCTGGGGCGAGAGCGCCATTCAGAACGACGGGAGCAAAGCGCTGATCCGGAAATGAGGCCCACGCTGCAATAGGAGCACCATCTTGAAGCACGGGAAGCAATCAAATTGCAAAACAAAAACAAAAAAAAATGATTATAATTACCCAGGGACGCACCCAACACTTTCCATACAAATGGCGACTATGGTCATGACCACTCAATTCCAAAATTTGCCACCGTGCCTGCAACACATAGTGGAATGACCCAAGGCTCATGCAGCCCTGAAAAGTTCAGAGTTGTAGGGTTCGAGAAGGCAAAAAACAATCTGGGGGGACTTCTGGGGATTCCCTGGGATTCCCCTGGGGATTCCCTGGGATTCCCTGGGATTCCCAGGGATGTCTGGTGATTCCCTGGGATTCCCTGGGCGTGTCGCGCGCGTCCTCCAGTAGCGCAAAAGCGCCCAAGAGGGCCGAAGATGCTTCCGGAGAAGGCCCAAGAGTGCCCCAAGGCGCCCAAGACGGCCTCAACTCGGCCTAAGTGGCCCCGAAGACATCCCACGAGTGCTCCAAGAGGCGTCCCAAGAGGGCCCCAAGAGGTCTCTCTGGTTTTTGAAGGTTTTCGTCTTTTCGACGTTCCGACGCTCCATGACGGCGCACGAGGCCCCCAAGATCGCCCCAAGACGGCTCCAGAAGCGCCCACGCGGGCCCCAAGACGGCCCAAGAGGGCCCCACGAAGGCCCGAGAGGCGCCCAGGACGGCCCAAGAGGTCCCAAAGGCGACCCCGAGAGGGTAGAAGGCGCGGGCCCTACATCTGCAGACAAGGCCCGCGCCTTCGAAGAAGCAGCATGCTTCTGAGAAGCCTTCCCCCCCCACCCCAACCCCCCCTGCGCGTGGCCGACACGTGATGGCGTCCAACCCAGAACGCCCGCGCTGGGGTCACCGCCGCGTCAGCGCGGCGCGAACCTACCGCGGTTCCGAAAATTGTTCCACTGGCACGGGGTATCCGATGAGTGGACAGCGCGCCCCTTGGCACCCGGCAAGCCCCATGGACACAATGTCGGCATTCTCGCCCCAGGTGTGCCACGGGAACGCGCAGGGACACTACGCAATGGCACAAAGAAAAGGCGCTGCGCAATTACAATATGCTGCACAAAGGCCGACTGGGACGTCAGACAAGCCGGCTTCCTGGATGCGTCGAATGTGCGAGATTTCCAGAGCGATCGACCAGAATATCAGATCGACATGCGGGCACGGAGCCATGATCCCCGCCCTGGAACAGGAGGATGAAACAAACGCCATAAGAATAAACTCTCGGAGCTCCGCGCGGAGCTTCGAAAGTTTATGTTAATTCCGCTGCTGTTCATCGACCGAGGCTCCCCAGGAGCACGCAGGGGCACTGCGCAAAGAAACCGCGCTGAGACACTGCGAACATGCCGCATGCCGCGCTGGAGCCACGACGTATGCTGGGGCAAATCCAGTGAGTCGTTTTGCGCAGTGCTTCTGCGTCGAGCCCTTGCGCGGTGGTTTTGAACATGTTCTACTTCACAGCGGAAACTCCTGAACACACACACTTGGAACTGATGCTTCGCTGCTAAAGCGTACATGCTTCTATTTGGGAAGACCGTCACGAAATGCCATCACCCCGAGCAGCCCAAATGTGTCAACAGCATTTCCTCACAGCGAGCGGCAACAAATGTCAGCTAAATATAACCGCCCCCTCAGGCCCCGAAACTCTCAATATGATATCCTCGCCCGTCTGGCGTAAAACTGCCAGCAACGCATCCTGACCTCATTGCGTGAAAGTGCCAGCAAACTCTCCGCACCCCCCGCAGCCGAAATCTGCCAGCAAAACGTAAGCACCATCTGCGGTCTGACACGGCCAGCAAACTATAATGACCCCCTGCGGCCTAGAACTGCCAGTAAGATATACCCACCCGCCACCTAACGGATTTCACAACTCACTTCGGCTCAACCCAGGTCAGTCCACCTCGCTGGCGTCAGATTACGTCGGCGGTGGACAAACCTCCCTTTTTAATAAAACCAACCTTTGATGAAAACGGCATAGGACCGAAACCGACGGACCTGGACCCGCAAAAATGACGGCCGCGACGCCCTCTCGCGAACCGAAAACTGCCACTTCGCCAATCGACGTGTCCGGGGAGGAGGTCGATCAACCTCCGATGACGGGCTGCGATCGTAAACACCGCATGTCCAGGGGAAGTGTGAGGTAGGAGAGGAGGGGGAGCACGGGAGGAGGGGGACGGAGTCAGGAAGATGCAGATGGGGGGGGGGGGCTGTGAGGAGGTTCAGACAATGAAGAGCAGGCACAACGACAGAGGTCAGGCAGACGATGGCGAAGACGGGAGATGAAGAGGTGGATCAACGAGATGACGGCTGCATTCTCCACCCGACTTACACAGCGAAGCAACCTCGCAAACCGCCGCCTTGAGAGGTAGGAGGGAGGACTACTCGCAGTGGATCAACATGAATTCAAGCTCTCAGCAAACCTTCGAAGTCTGAGGGATCCACCGATTGAGCGGGCGCACCAAAGCATACCCTCGCAGAGGGGCGTTCAACTTGCGGGCGCACGGTGCCAAAACTTTGGATCGTTTATGCACAAAGCATGCTTCATCAAACTCATAACTGCAGTGTGGCACATCCTACCAAATCACAACCACAGTCAAACATGTCCAGTGGCGCTTACGGCTACAAGAATTCCTGGTCGCACAGCAGATTGCAGAGGGATTTGCGCTCCTTGTCATCCTCCTCAGCATCGGCACCTGTTGGCGCGGACTCGATACGCCATGGCACACGAACAATCGCTTGCTCATGATGTACTGAAGCATTGCAGAGCTGATGGCTGCGTAGAGTGCTGCTAGAATGTGAAGACGGGGCTGGTGAGGAGCATGCACCTGACCGACGCGGAAATGGGGACACCACAAAGTACCGATACCGCCACTCCCTGGAACTCTCCCGGGGCGCGTTATGACCAGAGTTTCGCGGCGAATCCAGCGGTGGCGACGAGGACCTCCCAGGAGGCCCCAGAAAGGGAAAAAACGAGGCAATGGTAGCGGTATCGGTCCCTTTTCCCCCTCTGAGGAAAGCCAGTCAGCGCGACCACATACGGCAGGGTCGCGTCGTGTCGACCCCGGCGTTGGTTCCTGACACCGCGGGGATCGTTCAAACTTGAACGATCGGCCCTTTCAAAAAGGCCGAATCGCTCGAGGATGGGTCGATTCTGGGCCACAGGCGGCGTTCAACCTTAAAAGCCTGCGCTGGGTTCGCCGCCGGCCGACACGATGCGAACCTGGCGTACCCATGTGCGATACAGTTGTGGATGCCACGACAATGGACACCCTAATAGCCCTATCATTGAATTTTGAATGTGTTTCAAATGTGAGAAAAATGTTCTAAACATGCTTTAAACATGCTTAAGATATGTTTAATACATGCTTAAAACATGTTCAAGACATGTTTTAGACATTTGGAAATTATTTGGCAGCATGCTTCCTCTCCATTAGTCGACTTCCACAACGATACAGGCCAGGCTGGCACATCGGAGGGCGCCACGGCAAGCGGCGATCACCCCCCCGCGCCCGTCTCCAGCCGCCCCCCCCTCGGCCCTCTCGACCCCCTTCCCTGGGAGCGGCCCCTCACCCCCTGACGCCTCCTGACGGCCCCTGGTCAGGGAAGGGGCAGCACACACGCTCTGGCGACGACGATTTTGCGCTCGGCCAAGACTCTGCTATCTTGGCTGCATCCTTGCCTGCTCAGCGAGTTCGAGCAAAAACACTATCGTATAGAGATGCTTTGCCTCCCGTCGACGCTGTGGCGCTGATGCCGAGAAGACAATGCAAGACAATGCCCGTCGCCAGCCACCCCCCGTCGGCCCTCCCGGCCCCTTCCCTGAGAGCGGCCCCTCAAACCCCAGGACGTCTCCTGACGGCCCCTGGTCGAACTCACGGTAATGCACCGACCTTGCAGACGCGCTGCAGCGGATTTTTGCTTGGAACTCTGTCCATGCAAACCCCGAAACGGCGAGCGAAAAACGGCGTGAGCTCCGCGCGGATGTGTTGTAGTCTCCATTCCTGGCCCCAGACAAAACCGCACGACATTCCCTTCGGACTCTGGAACGTAATTCTCCAAGACAATCTGGGCCCATCCTATTGTTTTCCGAACGAAATTCGCTCCGCGATGTTGGCGCCATGAAACTCGACGGTGGACAAACCTCCCTTTAGTAGACCTCCCCTTAGTGAAAACGGCCTGGGACCGGACCTGGACCCGCAAAAATGACGGCCGCGACGCCCTCTCGCGAACCGAAAACGGCCAATTCGCTAATCGACGCGTCAGGGTAGGAGGTCTGTCCACCATCGAGAAACACATATGGGGGATCCATGGAGCTGGCACGTGGGCGCCGAATGCACGGATCGCAGCCCCAAAAAATGGTGCAAGGCCGCCCGATCTGGCAACGGAGCACGACTACAGTCGGACTCGATTGGACAGGACACGCGAGAAGACACAAGACCCTTCCATGGGCCGCATTGCCGCAGGAATGCAGGAAGCATGGGTCGCGAGACACAGGACACAAGGGTACCCTTGATTGGGCAGGGTCGACCTACTAATCTGGGCTGACTGTTGTCTGCGTGGACACTCAACCCCTCGCTAACGCACGCGCCTTACCTAGAGGAACGCGAAGAAACAGCATGAACAACATTTCTCGGAGGTCCGCGCGGATTTCTTGGATCGGCGCTGGACCCTCATCCCTGGCGCGCGGAGCGCACCAGGGACGGCGCCAGAGGCGCCGCCAGAGGGGCCTAGCGCCGATCCAAGAAATCCGCGCGGACCTCCCAGAAATTACGCCTGGCGTTGAAGACAGCGTGCAACATCGATCTCCGAAAAGCACGCTATTCCTGTGAGGCGATCTCGCCGCGAGGGCCCCTTCTGTGCACACTACCCCCCTGCCAGGGATTCTTCGGTGCACGCTATCCCAACAGACAATTGGGGATAGCGTGTGATCAGTGGGCGTTCGTGGTCAGCCTCACCTTTCCCCACTTGCTGCCAGAGTAAACCTGTGCTCCGCCACACAATACAAAATATTCACGGACTGAACGTGCTCCGCGGCCCGCAGCTTCCCCCCTCCGCGCATGTCCTTCTCCTGTGCCTGGTCAGACCCCGAGGCGTCCCTCGGCTGCCCCGACCGCGTACTGAACCCAAGTCGCCGCTGATAAAAGTAATCCACGGACCGGCGGCGCCACATCGCACGCTATTTTTTCCAACGCCAACCATGTGCCGTGGAGAGGTAGAAGTCGGGCTCCATGGCCAAGACTGAACGCGGAAACGTCGTGTCGATCTTGGCCACCGTCGACCGTGGTCAGCGTCAATTCGTCGATCATCCTCGCGAATCGGCGACGGCCGACATGGACCATGACCAAGATCGGCATCGACAAAAGATCCCGCGACATCTTGGTCATGGCCCCCGTGTTCCCTCGGCGCCGTTCTTGGCTCGCCGACTACAGTAGAGGCCTCCCAGATGGGGTCTGAGCAGATGGGGTCGGAGGATCGCGCCGCATCGCCGATACATCGGCGATGCGTCGGCGACATCCGGGATGCATCGGCGACGCCAGCGTGGAGAAACTCGGGCTCCACATCGAGCCGCATCGCCGATGCATCGGCGACGCGGCACGATCCTCCGACCCACTCTGCCCCGATCCCATCTGGGAGGCCTTCTGACTTTAGGTCGCTCCACAACAACCATCTGTAGGGAGCCCACAAAGGACGTACGCGCCCAGCTATGTACATGAACACGGCCTCTTGACCCGCGAGACCTGCCGCGCGATACGAACATTCGCGCAATGCGAACTCTCGAAACCAGCGTGGATTCATGTACATGTACGTCCTTCTTTCGCTCCTGAATCTGGGAGGCCTAGGTCGACGGCATCCCCGCCTGCGCCTCACCGTCGGCCTGGGATCCCGCGGCGGGCCTCCACAGAGGCCGAGAACTTCGAGGAGGGCCCGACGAGCGCTCACCAAGAGAGCCCCGGGGCCCGCCCCGGGGCCCGACCTCCCGGGGCCCCTGAAGTGCGAAGGGAGGAAAGGAAGGAGGAGGCGGGAGGAAGGAGGAGGGAGGAAGGAGGAGGAGGAAGGAGGAGAAGGGGAGGGGAGGAGGAGGGGGAGGGGGAGGGGGAGGAGGAGGAGGAGGAGGAGGAGGAGGAGGAGGAGGAGGAGGAGGAGGAGAGGAGGAGGGCTGAGGAGGGCTGAGGAGGAGGAGGAAGGAGGAGAAGGAGGAGGAGGAGGAGGAGGAGGGAGGGGGAGGAGGAAGGAGGGAGGGGGAGGGGGAGGAGGAGGAGGAGGAGGAGGAGGAGGAGGAGGAGGAGGAGGAGGAGGAGGAGGAGGAGGAGGAGGAAGGAGGAGAAGGAGGAGAAGGAGGAGGAGGGAGGAGGAGGGGAGGGAGGAGGAGGAGGAGGAGGGGGAGGGGGAGGGAGGAGGAGGAGGAGGAGGAGGAGGAGGAGGAGGAGGAGGAGGAGGAGGAGGAGGAGGAGGAGGAGGAGGAGGAGGAGGAGGAGGGGGTTCATCCATTCGGTCGGGCACCTTTGCTTAGCGTGTCGCAGCGCCAGCCCCAGCGACACGCTGTGCCCTGCGAGCGGATAGCGTGTCGCTCCGCTCCGCGGGCCGGGACGCTCGGAAAGGTTCGGGATGTTGACGCTTGGGAAGTAAGGGACGTGGATGGCATGTCGCTCCACAGCGTAGTGGACCAGAACCAGCGGAGCGACACGCTATCCAAAAGTTCCCTACCGTCACCACCGCCTTGGGGACCGACGTCCTGGGACCCCAGCGGGCGTGGATATGCCCAGGGGGCCCGAATGTGTCCATATCCACCGCCAGCCGAGGTCCCCGAAGATCGATCCCCTGGTCGGTGGCTATGTGTAAATCCCCGCCTCGGACGGCGGGGCCCAGAACCACAGCCCCAGGAGCGACCAGAAGCCTCCAGCCTCGCCCCCCGCACCCCCCATCGCTCCGCACACGAGCCGATGCCTTCGCCGCGCCCTCCCCCGGCGGGCGCGCCCAAAAGGGAAGGCACCGGTCCTCAGACGCAGACGGCCCCTCCAAGGCCGGAGAGCTGCTGAGAAGCCCCGCCGCCGCTCTGAGGAGGCCTGCCCCCTCTCGGGGGCAGCCAGGGGCCTCGAGCCTCGCCGAAGAACCCGTCCCCGCCCTGGCCTCCCCCGCCCCGAGGCGCGAGCGGGAAAACGGGGCCGACGGGTCATGCCTGCCCGAGGCCCGAGGATGGAGGCAAAGAAAACCAAGGTTGAACGCGAACACGCCAGGTGCCGATCGTGGTCACCGTCCGTATTGGTCGTCGTCCACGCGTGGGTCATCCTCGCGGATCGGCGACGGCCGGCGTGGACCATGACCAAGGTCCGCGTCGACTACATCCCGCGATATCTTAATCATGGTAATCTTGCTTCTGCGGGGACAATCAATACTGATACCGCTACTCCCGAGACCTCTCCCTGGGTGCGTTTTGGCCCGAATCACGAGGCGAATACAACGGTGGCGATGAGGGCCGCCCAGGAGGCCCAAAAAAGGAGCAGCATCGTACCTTTTCATCCTATGAACCTGCCCGCGGCCTGAGGAGGAGGAGGAGGAGGAGGAGGAGGAGGAGGAGGAGGAGGAGGAGGAGGAGGAGGAGGAGCCGTCCCCAGATCTTCGACGTCGCGGTGGTTCACAACGTCGACCCTAAGAGGTCTAGCGGCCCGAGGCCTCTTGGGGGCCTCCTGCGAGCCTCTTGGGGGCCTCTTGGGGGCCTTTGGAGGGCACCCTGGCGGCCTCTTGGGGGTCTGCTGATGGTCTGGAGAGTCATCTTGGGGCGGGGGGCTCGAGATGTCAGTTCGTGTTCTCCCTCTCGGGCCCCCCCGAAGGCCCTCTTGGGTGTGTGGGGGCCTCTTGTGCCGTAGTGGGGCCTTCTTGGGCTGTCTTGGGGCCCTCTTTGGGGCCTGTTGGGCCGTCTTGGGGCGACATTGTAGGCCTCTTGGGCCATCCTGAAGACCCCCACCTGGGTTCCCCGAGCGGGCAGGCGGGCGCGCCTGCCGCGGACGCCGCCGGCGCGGCCTCCGCCGCCGCCGCCGGCACGGCGGGCGCCAGCGCGGGCGCCTGCGCTGCGCTCTCTGGGGTCGTCGTCGTCGTCGTCGTCGTCGTCGTCGTCGTCGCCGTCGCCGTCGTCGCCGTCGTCATCATCGTCGTCTTCGTCGTCGTTGTCGTCGTCGTCCATCGCTCGTCGTTCGTCCCGCCGCCGTCGCCGTCGTCCACCGTCCATCGCCAATCGTCCGCCACGGCCGCCGCTGCCGTCGCCGCCGCCCTCGCCGCCGACGTCCGTCGTTCCTGGTTCGCGGTTCGTCGGTCGTCGCCCGTCGCCCGCCATCACCGCCCGGGACGAGATGAGCAGGAGAGGGCCCAGCTTGGCCCACCGCCTCCCCACCGCCCCCCAAAGTTGGCCCACGATCGCAGCCTAGATGATTTGTTCAATCCTGCGGGGCTCAAATATACACCACCACCACCAGGCGGCCATAGGAAAGGACAAATTCCTGCGCGCGACCGCCCTGACAGGGGTGCCACTGCCTGCCCCCGCCGAGCGCAAGTACTTGCCACGTGGTCATGCGCGCAGATGGCGGCCGCATTTGGTCGCGAATAATTGTTCCCAAGCACCCGATGGCAGCACGGTGGTAGTGTATAAGAACGATGGACCCACCCGGGGATTGTATACACCACCCCGACATGTACACCACGTGCATGTATTGTTTTTTGTTGCGCATGTAACCGTGTGCCCAATCACACGCGACACGTCATTACCGCGAGATTTGACGCACCCTGCAACCCACCGCCGAAACAATAATCCAATCAACCCCCATGACGGAAAACCAGCCCGCGGTAGTGATGTATATGCACGGGTCCCGGAAATCCGCCGACCACCTCCCCAAGAGTAAGCGTTCGTCCTGGATCCACTTTTTATTGTCCCGGGGTCCGAGAACGAGCCCCAGAAGCCGAAAGCGAGGAAAAGCGCCAGAGCGCCGACGGGCCCGCCTCTTCCCTCACCTTCCGACCTGCCACCCTGAGGGGGCGAAGAACGATTTAAAGTTGACGTTCCAGCCGCCTGGGGGGCAGGCGCCCACGACGGCGAAAAAGTCCATGTCATACCGCTCTTCTAGGGAATCAAACTCTATACACCACCGACGATTCTTCCGGCCCTGCATTGGAATTTGCACTGGAGAGCGGATCCTGGTGTATACGGGACCCTGGTGTATACATTTTTCGTTGTTTCCCTTGGAAAACGGGGGAGAAGTATACACTACACCACCCCGACGTCGTCCCCGACCCTCAAAAAAGTCCTGGGGTCGAAAAACCGCCCGCCACTGGTAATGTATATGCTCCAGCTTCTGAGAAAAGTCTATGTTATACCATTCTTCGCCCGCTGACACCCGGCGCCTGGGGGGGGAGGAGGGCCCAAGGAGAGCGCGACGCGGGCCTGGGCTCGACGCCCGCCCGTGCGGTACGGGCACGCTCGGGGGGGGGGGGGGCGTGCCGAGGACCGCCTCGGCAGGAGCAGCGGACGGCCAGTCCGCACCGCGTCCGGCCAGCTCTCTAGATGACGATGACGATGACGACGACGATGACGACGACGACGATGACGATGACGATGACGATTAGGATGTCGATGACGACGATGATGACGACGACGACGATGACGACGACGACGACGATGATCATCGTCGTCATCGTCGTCATCGTCATCGTTATCTTCATCTTCATCATCATCGTCGTCATCGTCATCGTCATCGTCATCTTCATCTTCATCTTCATCGTCGTCGTCATCGTCGTCGTCGTCGTCGTCGCCTCGCCCCCCCCCCGAGCCCGTCCTCCCAGGGAGGGCCTCCCCCGAGGGCCAGGCACGCTGCACGGGGGAGGGCTACAATCGACGAGCGCGCTCGACTACTCGCAACGCAGCCACTTTTAGGCCGGGCGTGTCCTCTACAGGGGGATTTTCAGCTTGACAAATTAGAAATAAGCCCCAAACATTTTCCAACAATGCTCGAAAATGCTCCAGAAATCGTCCCCCGACTATTTTCTTTACTATGTTTGAATATTTCTCCTGTAGAGGGACATGCCCGACTTAAGGCGACAAACGACAAGCGCGCTCCACTACTCGCAAGGCAACTACTCGCAGGTGAGCAAAATCCGCCGCGGGGGATACACGCTCCATTATATAGGGGAAGACATGCTCTTTTTTCGGACGTTTGCAAGCAGGCACTCTGCGAGTAGTGGAACGCGCTTGGTGAGACAAATGGGAGGGGGGAAAAGGCTGCCCTTTTCGGGCCCTAGAGGCCCCCTTGGGGGTCCTAGAGGACCCCTTTGGGGGCCCTGAAGGGCTCCTTTTCTGCAGCCCTCGCTGCCCCCCCCCCAGTTTGTCGCCCCCCCATAACGCGACGCCCAACACGAGTCGCCGGGGACGATGCCGGAGATTTGCCCTCAACCTCACGGTGGGGCTTGTCAGCCGCCGTGCTTCAGCAGGGTAGCCCGTGCTTGGTGGTTGGTCCCCCCCATGGGCGTCGCCACCCGTGTGTACTGTTGACTCCACTGATACAATCCTTCCCATGAGTTTGAACATGAATCAGTCGCTTTGGCAGTGCCCAGGAGGGTCAGCACCAAGCTTGCCATCGCTCGGACGCCCCTTCCCCGTGCATTTTTGGGGCGTCGCGCTTCTTCCTCAGGATGCTCCGAGAGGGTCCAAAGAGGGTCCAGATGTTCTGGCGCTGGCCTCGCCAAACAAAAAGTGCACGCGTCCGAGCGTTCGGTAGCAACTCACGGGAGCCTCCCATGCCATCTTGTGGGCTCTTGCGAAGCGACGCTAATCGACGCCAAATCGACGCTACTCGACGCTAAATCCACGCTCATCGACGCTAGCCGACGCTAAGCCGGCGCTATCTCATCGACTCGCGGACGCCAATCGACGCGAATCGACGCTAAAGACGGAATCGAGAGGGCATACCAGGCTCCCATGGTTTGCTGCCGAACGAGCGATGCCAAGCACGAATTTTCGTGGACCCCTCAGTCTGCGAGGACACCCGGCGCGGCCGGGAAGGACAAAGGCAGAGAGCGCAGGGTCAGGCCGTGGCAGTTCGCCGCTCCCACGGCCGCAGCTCAAGCGCCCATGGAGAAGAGGCCCCCCCCCCCTCGCCCAACGGCGGGCGGCGAGCCTCGTCGCGGGGGCGGAGGCCTCGTGGGAGACGGCCTTCGGCTGCGGGCTACGGTGCAGTCGAGGGCAGAAAATCCACCCTCACGCTAAGCACCCCGACACGCGGAACCGTCTAGTGAACGCACCCAGAGAGTGAATCGAACAGGGCAGGGCCGTTTAGTAACCGTCCAAGGCCGGCCGTTTAGTAGACGCCAATTGTCGGATCTGGGTGGTGCTTCCTCCCTTGATGCAGGGGTCCGACCGTAAGAGAAATGATCCTGGCCAAGGACCCAACCATATGCAATTGTTACTAGCACAATGACTGGTCTCGTCTTCGGTGGAGCTCCTTATGAGGCTACGAAATGTGTGAGGGGTGTGCCGAAATTGGTGCGGTGGCGTCATGCGAGCGCAGCCGCTGGGGACTTCGGTGGAGCTCCCTATGGGGCCACGAAGCGCTGTTTTGAGTGGGGGAAACGCAAGGAGGAGGGAAAAGGGGGAGGAGGAGAGGAGAGGAGAACGCGGAGCCCGTCTTCTCAAAACGAGGGCCCAACACAGCAGGATGGTTGGGAAAAAAGCAGAGAAGAGGCAGTAGGCCCTGTTGCTGCGCGACAGGGCGAGATCTTCCAGCGGCAGCGCAGGGGCCAGCTCACGCGGGAAAACGCGCGCGGGAGAAGGCCACCAGCTAAAGAGCAGAGACCAGCGCGGAAGAAGGGAACTGGTCGGGCACAATCGTCAGCTACAGGGCGTGGATCAATTCGTGCGAGAAGGCAGGCGGTGGCAGCGGGCTCAGTTGCGGCAAACGGGAGTTTTGCGAGGCACGTCTCAGCTACAACGCAAGGGCCACTTCGTGCGAGAAGGGCGCTCGTGGAGCAGGTCTCCAGCTACAAGGCGGGGGGCTGAGCGTCGTGCGCGAACGCAGGCCGTGCCAGCAGGATCGGTCGCTGCACGGGATCGTGCGAGGCACACCTCAGGGACCAGCTCGTGCGAGAAGGCAGGTAGTGGCAGTCGGCGCTGTTGCTGCAAATCGAGGTCATGCGAGAAAAAAGCGAGAAGGGGCACATGAGACAGGTCTTCAGCTACGCCGTGCGGGGATGGGATGCGGAGATGCGATCGTGCGAGGAGGCTGGCAGTGGCGGCTCGCTCGGTCTCTACACGAGGTCGTGCGAGACGGATATCAACTGCAATGCGGAGATCCGAGCGTGTGAGAAAGTAGGCAGTGGCAGCGGGATGCACAGCTCAGCGACAGTACGAGTACCAGCTCTTTCGAGCAAGTAGGCAATGGTAGCAGGCCGTGTTGCTGCAAGCCAGGGGCGTGCGAGACATAGGTCAGCATTCACGCAGGTGTCGGCTCGTGCGAGAAAGGCGCTCGCTGGACGGGCTTTCAAAAGTAAAATGCGGCGACCCGGTCGTGCGCGAAGGCAGGCAGTGGCACTAGGCGATGTTGCTACGCGGGGGCCGTGCGAGACACATCTCAACTACACTGAGATCAGTCCACGCGAGTAGGCAGTGGCACTGTCGACGCAATGGGGCTCGAACGATCCAAGCTCCGCTACAGCGCAGGGATCAGCTCATGTGTGAAGCATGTGGGTGCGGAGATACGATCGCGCTAGACGCAAGGAGAGAGAAGGTGGGACCAACATCATCAGCTATAAGCGCCAGGGTCGGGTGTCGCTGGATTTCTTCAAGAGCAGTGGGAGTACGCTCTGCTGTTGTAGGCCTCCAGAGGCTCCTCACCCTCAACACGCCGCCAGGATAGGCCTGGGTGAGCTAGGCCTGGCCGCTGCAGACCTCCAGAGGCTCTGCACCCGCAACACGACGCCGACCCCGGCAAGTCCGGACCCCTTCGCCAGGAACGCTTCTGCATCCTGGGCCGTGCTTTACGGTCCTGGGGCTCGGCGAGGGCCCACCCCGAGGCCGAGAACATCCCAGAAAACGTCCGCAGCGACGTTTGTTTGACACGACGCGAGGGGGTCCGGTCTGGCGACCCCTCCCGCCTCTCCTCTGACCCCCCACCCCCCCTCGCGGGGGCCGCGCCTCCTTCTCCACGGCGGGCGCAGGTGCCTCCTGCACCACGGCGCGCGGCATCGCCTGGAGAATGCGCGGGGGGGGGGGGGGGGGCCGAACGCGGCGCGGGGGCCGGGCACGCCCCC